GCGCCAAAGATTTCTCAAGTTCGAGTGAGGTTGGGGGCTGGACCAACCCAATCCAGTAGCAACAATTTACGTGAATTGAGAAAACAAGTTTTGGAGGCACAAAATTTATTATTTGCTACACGAAAATAAGCATTACATTTTCTCGANTCGAAGGATTATCCACCAGAGTTTATGCGCAGTTCAATGCACTCAGTCAATTTGGTGAAACCGCTCGATGATGCCAAAGCGGTTAGCAACCCTTCGAACAATGAAGGCCTCCACTGCAGCTGTTGGCGACTCGCATTGGATTCCACGCACCGCACACTTGACCTTTGAGAACACAAAGTGTCTCATAGAGCCAGATCTGGTCTACAGGGTGGGTGACCAACCTCCTGGATGCTTTCTGTAGTCAGAAAATGATCAACAATATGGGACCCGTGTGCAGGTGCGTTGTCATGGTGCAGAAAGGTCCCTTGTGCTCGAGTCTGTGGACGAAGCCCGGCAACAGCTTCGAGCACTTTCGACAGACAGCGGGTGGCGTACCAGTCTTATTTGACTGTGCTTTTCTGTACCAGCGATACAGTATCTACATGACCGGTTTTGTCCATGAACATAGCCATCACCTGCTTTACCTTTCTGCGCTCGCGTCGGAATTTCTGAGAAGGTGTCCCACCAACCAGGATCCACTGAACCTATTGTTCTGTGGTCTCTGGGTCGAAACTGTACACCTAGATCTCAAAACCACTGTTGATCTCCCACACTGCGTTGCAACGTCCACCATCAAACCTGGCAAGCTTGGTGCGACACCGATTCACCCTAGCTGCTTTCTGTTCCTCTTTGAGCTGATGGGGTACCCCGCCTGCGCAAACATTTCTGATTCCGAGAATCTCATGTAGGACTATGCAGACTGATCCCGATGGCTTCCACCATCTGTGCCACTGTCACCCGCTCCTCCTCCTCCACCACTGCTTACACAGCAGCAATGTTGTTCGCCGTAGTGGCCTCCACAGGTCGACCACTTCGTGTCTCACCATCCAAGGGGTGCTACTCACGATTGAATTCCGCAGGTAACTCAAACACAGTGCTTCCTGAAGGCGCGTTATCACCAAAGGCATCTCACAGACGCCCAATACTCTGCTACTGCTTTAAACCACGGTTTAGTCATAGATAAACATCGCCCTCCAGTGAAATAGACTGATTTCCATTCTTGCAGTTCAAGTAAAGCAACCCTTACGACTTTTGAGCTGCCCTCGGTTGTTGATATTTGGTTATCTGAGTTCCAATCACTGAAAAATATTCACAATAGATTACAGTTCATGTTCCCCTTGTCCGATCATCTGCACCTCGTACGTGTACTGTGTATCCGGAAGTTTTCTGCTCAGTCCTCGTGCACTTTGAAAGTGCAAAATGCATGTTAAACATGACTACACTAGCACTAAAACTGTCCAGAAACAGTTGCAACTTACCTGGGTCTTCACTCAACAGTGTAATGTCGTGTGCATACTTCAGATCAGATAGTTTACCTCATGGGATTAAATCGATACAACTATGCTCGCGAATAGGGCTGTTTCAATAATCATATCTATCAGAAAGCGAAATAGAAATGAAGATAGAGGGAAAACCTGACGAACATCAATTTCTACGAGCTGAACTAAGGAGAAAATGTGCCACAAGCTCGGACTCGGTTTCGGTTATTCTAATAAAGTGATCGTAATATTGAAATAAAATTCTCGAATGTATCTCTCAGGGAGAAGCAGCGTCAGAGTACAGAGCAGTCTACTGAGTCGGCGGCCACTTTCAGATCGAGAAAGATGGGAAAAGTGGGTCCATTGTGTCCGTAATCCAGTCCGTGATAGCTGATCCTTGATTCGTTTCCTGTGACTCCTATTGTGTGGTTTGTGTTCCGAGTTCGTGCGCATTACTACTACTACTACTACTACTACTACTATTACTACTACTACTACTACTACTACAATCACGCTGCTTCGTTTGTAGTTGGATCGATAGAAAAAAGAATTTCGGTGCGGGTTGTATAATACGGTAAATTGCGAGATGGTAACATATCGGTCTGAGTCGATTAACATCAAACTTGCTTTAAGAGAATCGTATTTGATTACCTTGGTCAAACGAGAATGATCAATATGTTATTCAGATCAGATGGAACTGATAGCACTGTCTATCCCAGACTAAGGTGAATTCATTTTTTACTATGAGCATTCCTTGACAAATTCTGATTTTATGATGAATTTCGTCGTGTTCAGGGTAAATGAAACGTGAAATGAAAATCTAGGAAGTACTGGACAGTTGTTTCGACCTGATTGGGTCTCATCGGCAGCGCGAATCTATCCATCAAACTGGGGATCTAACCCGGCATCTCACAAGCATACTACCTATTCGGTCACCAGGGGCCTGATCAGACCGTTTTTATTTCCCTTATTTTCTTCATCGTACACAATATATCACAACCCAACTTTGCGAGCTTAGTGCAGGCATCGCATCGATTCCCGTAATCACTGCGTCCTGTTGCTCTTCGCCTCCTTCCAGTTACGTAACATGTGTTGAAATCTGGGTGATATATGTTTAACGTAAATACATTGGTGAATGACGTTTGATTCACTGTTGCTACTACTGTGATCAAAATGGAATAAAACAGGTTATTGAATTCAAAGGCGAAATCGATTGAAGAGATCGAATACCGTTGAGTACAAATGTCTTGATTTCGTGTATGAGTGCGCGCTTAATCATTCTTTCTGCACCCTCTCCATACCGGCCTGAATCTGCATTGCAGGGACAACAATTTGCCTTTCACACAGCAAAACAAAGATGAGGTACCACGCGGTTGATCTCGCTCACAGCCATGGTGTACAGCGCGCAACTTTTTGTTTTATTTTACAATCTCGGCACAAAAACAATCATACGAGTGAGGCTCGCGATGGACAGAGTACATTTTTAAACTACTGATGGCGGTCTATTTTGTTTTAGGAAGTACTGTTACCCTACCTCTAAATCCATGATAAATAAGGGAAATAAATCCGTGGACTCTATGGTGTGCACTAGTTGCACTGAATGAAATGGTGAACTGATCCTGTGATGGTCACGTGGTTTAGGTGATCATTCTCCGCCACCTCCGTGGTCGAGCGCCTCAGTCCTCTCCTTACTTACTGATTAGCAGTCCTAGACCAATCGCGGCATCCACGCAAGCTGTGCACTTGGATATAAAGTGACTATTATTTTATTATTAATGTAATTGCCGTACACTCGGAATATAAGGGGAGAAATAGTTGATCGATCACAACCAGAATGGGAATTTCACTTTTGAACTACTATAGTTAGCATATATAAAGTTGGTGGATTCGATGCCGAGGAAACTCGAAAATGTCCTGAAGAATAAAGGCAGACCAATCGACTATTGGTATACACAAATTTCACATGTTAATTATCATCAACGTTAAATTGTTCTAAATAAATAAAAGTTGTTTTATTCTCTCTAGTCAGTTGTTAACTAATCTGGAGTATCCGCTTGTTATGTCTTGCCAAGACGATATGATCGATACAAGCGCCTCTTGACTAGGCCCGACAATTGGAGGCAGAATACGGCTGAGAAGCGTTAGTCAGCGTATACTATCGATCATGAAGCAATGGGCAAATATAGGTGGTAATTTAGGGGTAAGAGAATCGACTTGATGATGTACCAATTAGGTTGCGACCTTGATACTCCGATTGGTCGATCGGATGGCAGCTCTCTGATTCGCCTTAGTCATCCAATCCGGAATCAATTCGGCTTGGGCGTCACGAACGCACTTGTGGTGTGACGTGGGTCGATGCGTGCGCTCCGTCCTAACACCTCTGCATTTGCTTAGTATAAACTAAACACGAAGAGCACTGCTCTAAAGACTCACCAAGGCTTGTTTATTATTATTGAGAAAGAAATATTTACGTCAATATAAATGTCGTTGCCTATACGAACCCGTAAATGTTTCCCCGGGACCCGTTGCTTCAGTTTCGATTAGACCTGTAAGTTGATGGCAAACAAATAATTTTTATTTTAAATTGTGAAAAGTTCAGTAGTCCCGGTGAAATTTCCATAATTCAAAACAAGAGTTCAATCTGCCGAACAACATAAACTGAACAAATAATTTTATTTTGCCAAAAATACTTTGATGCAATCAACCGCGAGAAAACAAAGCTTAAAAGTGACAGATCAGTTGGTAGAGAGAAGTATAAAATGTCTATGAAAAAGAGAGAGAAAGAAAATGATATACAAAGCAGGGGATTTTAGTTGTGCGGGAGTGCAGCAATGCGAGCATCCGAGTGGTTAGAAATGTATATCTGTGTGTTCTGCATCTGAGAGACATTGACTGGTTGAACATAGTTTGATAGCTTCAAACGGATCATTCATCCTCGAATACAGATTCTTCGTAGTTCATTTCATCCTGTTTGGGCAAAAGAGAATCGATTTTAACATGAAAAAAAAATTATGAAACTAAACGTGGTTCGATTCTCCCACCATCGGACTTGAATCGCGAACCCTCCGGTTGGGAGCCGAATTCATCACCACCGAGGTGCAATACGATACGCCGCACAAACCGTGATGTCTTTGCTTGCGTCTAGACAAGGAAGGTCCATTTATTGACCGCTTCCATTAGTCAAATCTATGGGCCTTCCACCATCAGTTTCGGATCCCAACTGAAAGTTCCGCCGTTCCAGCCTCGGAACGAATGTAAAAAGAATTAGTCACTGCTGGTGAGTTTCGTCAGGGACTAAAATATGCTTCGGTATTGCCAACCAAAATTTCATCATAAGTGTATCATTCCACACAAGTGGTATAATCATGAACTCTCAAGGATTCCACCAACACAACAATATGTTACATTAAAAGAACTGGCTTATGGGCTTTTTTGAGAAAGGCTGTTTCAATGTGATAGCATTTAATTCTAGTTGATTTAATACATCAGCATGATTTAGTTCATTTATCTAGGCTGGCATAACACTGTTTGACTTGTCCAAGTGTGTGTCACGTGTCACGTGAGTGGCAAAGAATTGAAATCAACCGGTTTGGATGAGCCAGACAGGTACACAACAATGAACTATTGTAGGCATATGAGAAATAAAAGAGTCACAACTCACATGGTATTTGCGAATACTGTGTATGTATATTGAATAGACAATGTACACGACGATCACCACACCGCATGCTAACAGTGGCAATATGCTCAGCTTTTGCAGTGGTCGACCTGAAAAAAAGATACAAACAGAGAGAGAAAGACCGAAGGTTACTATCACGAACCTTTTTGAAAGGCCTAGTACTATTCTCTCGCATGTGGAACCGTAAAACTGTAGTCATACTATTTTTACATCACGTTTGTTAGTCCGTGCCTTCATCCAATCTGGGAAACACGTCAAATTATCGAATAGGGGACCGTTTCTCAGAGGCTACGATTAGTTTCACGACGATACGGCTAACAGCTGCAAATAGTGAGTCACTTTACTGTGGTTCAATGAAATTGATTATGGTATCTTTGATCTTCTTAACCCTAAGTGTGTGGTGTGATCATCCCGGTGAACTTGTTCACCTACTCGAAGTAGATTACTTTAATCAGCTGATCGAAAGAAATTATCACTTTATTAGCTTCAGCTCATTTGAAGTTTTCCATTTCTCTGCCTAGCTTTTTTTCAAAAACACCAATCGTACGAAGTTTACCGAGGACTACCCACATTTCAACTTGGTATTTTAAATAAACAAGTATAATGCACCCAAAGCGCAGTGCGGAACGCGGGCTTACTTATGAATCTCAGAAAATTGCGTGTGATCACTTCAGTTTCAGTTTGAAGAACCAATAACCATGCACTTTCGTGCGCCGCTTTTGGTTGCTGTCTTTTGGCTGCCCGTTTGGATGAATAATAAAAGACAGGAAAGTTGAAGGTAGAGTCGAACAGAAAATGGATAAGTTCAGTGGTCTAAGTTAGCAAGGAAATTAAGAAGATGCAAGAACGCCAGCGTAACGGGACCTATGTGACCCAGACTCCTGGTCATGGTCTTCATACCCTCGTGCCAGGTCTTAGTTTGGCACCCTTGACTTTCTTCCACCCACTACTTGCCTCGGCGAACATCGCTCGCCGTAGCAACCTGTCTAGTGACATGCGTACACATGCCGCGGATCCCAAAAGTCTGCGCCTAAGCTCAGGATTGTTCGTCCGGTTGCCCCATCAGATTCGTGCAATGCTGCGTAGACAGCGGTGTCCAAACACCGACAGTCTATCTTTGATCATTTAGGTATGTTCCGGTCCATCCGATTTTATCAGACGTCTATATTCGCTTCTCAAGTTCTGCGGATTGTAAGCAGTAGCCAACTTCGACGTAGAACGCGACGTTTGTGTGGGCATCAAGTAAAGCCGCTGCACAACAGCTTTATTATTCCTTCCAGCTTTTCAAATACCCCTATCATTAACCACTCAGTTCAGCTAGAAAAACTCAATTATCGCGCTGACAGTCTGTTTCCCATGCTTTTTAAGCCTAATGTATATGTCTAAAGTAAACGAATTTCACAACCAGTTAACTTGTCCCGACGAAAATACTTTATCGATTATTCAAAACCTGTTACTATAATTTCGATTCGTGATTCCGCGCAATTGATACCCATTCTCAAGTGATCTCATTCCATGGTTCCACCTCCCGCATGAGCGAGCAAGCGAGCGAGCCATTCTGCACCATTTAAACTGAATACTTTTTCTTGGAAACCTATAATTAAACTCGCATGATCCGGATACTTGATTCCTATCTGGCCATCATAATATCTCCCTTACGGAGCAAAATGTAACAGACTGTATCGGAAAACATTCCGGTTTTTGATAGACAAACCCGGAGTATTTCTTGGAGTGCTTTATTCATCACTCATGCTCCACCTCGTCCAGTGACTTTATGTGACCAACATTCTAATTATGCACACAATGTCACGTACACATTTGTTCATTCGTTCCTATTTATCAACCAATCACGACACGCAATTAGTCATGACAGAATGGCTAACATCCTTTCAGGCTGTTTTGTCCATTAAATTATTAAATCGTTCATCCGGTCCTGATCGATACGCTGTCTTTCGTGCTCCAATATCCTGTGTTGGGTTGTGCGCCCTTAACAGCCGCGATTGGAATTCAGTCTTAGCAATGTATTAATGCTGTTTCGAATGCCATCGACTTCACTGAACTTTGAACAACCTTTTGATCTTAGACATACACAACCCAATAGGTTAAAGGCATTTTCACTTTCTCGAGTTATTTTCCGTTCTGCCCTGCATAGACTTACCCGGACCCATTCATTATTCAGTATAATCTGAACGACGAGGTCAATCTTCACTGGTCTGTCCACATTCCATCCTGTGTTTCAAATTTACATTGAAACTGAGAAACTTTAAGCTACCATGGTCAGCAAATTTGGGGGGCTTTCTAATGTGCATTTCGAAATTCACTCTCGTTGTTTTCATCGGCTTAAAACACCGACAAGGTAGCTTTCAAATTTATAAGATGGGAAATACTGATTGACAATTTCTGAGTGCCAAAATTTTACAAACGAAACCACTCTTTAAACATTGTCTTAGTCTCCTGTCGTTCCCATCCAAATGCAAGTTAACAATTCTGTCATGGTTCGGATTCACAAAAGTGTGCCGATGTTCGGCACGTATTTCGACCGGAAACGGGCATTTTTATTTGTGAAAAATATCACCATTTACCATTTCTATACTGTTTTAGTGCACCTAGAGAATGGTTTTTATATGCTGCATGACAGCATTTGAGGGCAAATTCTCATCACGGTTTCATAATGTACAATACATTATTAAATTATTTCCGAACAAAACTTTTTATATACAGTTTTGTGGTGCACGAGATGAGAATTCGATGGACAAGATGTTGTTACTGTTTTTGCACATCGAAGCTGATTTCAAAAGTGACTTGGCCTGGATTCAGTTCACTCGTATTTCAGACTCTTTAAATCAGGGTACAAGCTGAGGCACATTCGGTGCAGATTTTTCATCCAAGTTTTGTGTGATCTTATTTAGGCGTGTTTGCATCAGTTAGGTTATCACTGTGTAATAAGATCCGATATGCTCAATGATCGCCACCGATTTGTGAAAGCTTGAGGGGCTGATGAGCAGCAAGCTGTTGATACACTAAGCGATTAGCGCATCCTTTACACAAACCCTCGTGTACTGGCTCAAATCCCATTTGACTGCTCGGATTTCCATGGATGATGATTTCTTCGGACAAGAAAATAGCATCTATGTAAGGATTCCAAAATCTTCTAACAGTGACTGATGACATTGACTTTGTATGATGAACTCTAATTTCGTAAATAGTTATCTAACTTGCACCAATGATTTCCTTTACGAAAACTCGCTAAACCAATTAGCAAAGCCTGATAAATCAAATGAAATTAGTACAAACATTATTTTCAAACCTTAACTATAAAATAACACTGTAATCCCAGACGCATTGCTGACGAGTCCCGAAACGGACGAAACAGCTGTTCGGTGCAATTTTTCGAGCTGTCACAACTATTTCCATCGCATATAAATATTTCAACCCATTTACTTCAAAATATACAGTGTTCTGAATAACTAAATGGAGGAAAATAAGGCTGATAATGGAATGATTATACAGATCAATCAATTAATTGGTAATCGATTAATTGATTGATTGAGTTTTATCCAGAAATTTCTTACTCACCATATTCACGACCAATACGGATTTCACCCGTTTGCTTGCTGGTCCCGTACTCATTTCTTCCAACCAAGTTGATTTCACAATCTGTACACAACTTGTCCAAAGTTGCTTGTCCGTATGTATCAGGCTGAACGGTGATATTCATTTCTGTCCCATTTGCCAATCGGATTTGTGCATCTATTTCTGCTGTTTCTTGACATGTTGTATCTATCTCAATCTTTACGCGATGTGCTGGAGTTGATCCACCAGGAAGCTTGACAATTCGTGGTGTTGGTGGAACTGTAAGTAGATGAATATATTGGATCAGGTAAGGTTTGAGGTAATAAATACTAATCGAACCGCTGTATGTGGTATTCTCATAAAATGCACTAAAGTTGACGGTTATCAATGGAGGTAATGTAATAATCGGAATAGTATTGAATTTAGGAATACGAGAATCCGTACTGTACTGCTCAGAACTGAATTGGCTCCAACCCGAACTGCGGACACCAATGAAATACACGAGGAATTGATAGCAGCAAATGCTTATGTTTATTGATAGAATTAGAGCATGTTTTATGGAAGGTAATAGCTCATATGATTGGTTGAAGGGCCGTCGTTCAATTACGTAACCGTTTGTGCCGACGCAGCATATGTGCTAACTCAGATGTCATGTTCGCCCAGTGTACCATTGGCCGAGCTTCCGGAACGGTGATTGGATGACACGAAACTGTACCTGGTCGTGCATGGATTGCGGTCACGGAAGTCTGGATCACCACAGGTAAGTAAATGCAAAGTCCGGTGGCAAACTGGGAAGGACTGCTATAAAAACTGAGGACTTGAAGCGTCCATAGACAAAACTCACAAAATGTCAGACATCTGTTAAATTAAAAACAACGTTCGGTGGATGAGATGAGGTGTTTCGATGATCACCAATTGCACTTATTTTCGATGCATTCTGGTCGTTATAGAAGTGATTCTGATTTTTCATACTGTACAATCTCAAAGTTATCATAATCCAAACACTGTCCCACCCATCTCTAATTTCCGTGAAATCAGAGGCGTCTTTTTCCGGTTGTAGCCTTGCCGTGGATATCCCACTCTACAATCCCTGGGAAGTGTAGCAGTTGCTTGGTAGATCTAGGGATCACACACAGTATATCCCTCGTGTACCGTTTAACCCTCATGTAGTTGCACTGCTCAGTTGAGGATTTTTCAGTATCATTGTTATTAAAACCTATCAAATTTGTTTTCTCCAGATTACCCGGGCATTTTTATATTACCTCTGGATTTATAGTACCTTTTTCTGTCTGTCCTTAACTGTTTATCGCATCAGCTTTCATGAGATTTTGTCCGGTTTTCCATGCACGATCATTGATAGTTATATCCGCACTTTGCAATTCACAGGCACAAAACAGTGTCAGTTGACAAGCCTATTCCGGGCAGAAAATGATTCCGTGGTCCGATCGTTAAGGTTCTTTGTGTGAACGCCGACAGAAAGCACTGGGCAGATGTTTTGACCACAGCAAAACTTATCTTCACGAACTGTAGCGATCCCTTTGCTTGTGCTCCGAAAGCCAAAGCTACGGGGTCAACCACCAACACATGGAGCACATGGTTGTGCTAGGATGGAGCGTACACGACCAGTTCACTCGCGCACTGGCCCGCCTTACACCACAGGCACTCTGGTGACACCATAGGCAAGTCGACCCGGATGGAATGACTTTGGAAGGAATCGGACAACGGTTGTCCGATCTTCCGATTGAAGACGCAATCTGATTGGAATGTTGTTGAATCCCCTCGCGTGATTCAATGGTACACTTTTCAAACGCACTTATTGTAAGGGGCTAGAAGCACTCGTCTCGAACGTACGCCTGAGCCGAACAAAACAGGTTACAAGAATTTCACAAGTTGCAGGTTTTCAGAGCACGATATCTACTCAGGTTTGCTTATTCGCCTCACTCAATAGTTGCAATATATGGAAGGATTATTACTGGACCCAATGCACCTGACGACAACAGTGTTGCACACGCATTCGCGCAAACAAACTCCGAGTTGCTTCCTTTCGATTATTTCTGTCCCTACGTGCACGATCATCATCACCTTCGAAGATTTAGACAACAAATAAATAGAGAGCCGGAATCTAAAATTTCACCAAATTATCTTTTGCTGTAATGAAAAGATAACCAAAAATGATGATTCTAATAGCAATCAGAGTAGTGTACTCCCGTGGACTTTCCCCAACTGAAGACGGCTGATTTCTAGGGTGCATTGGTCGTTCCGTCTTAAAAACTTCCGCTCACACTTTCTCTACGTAATCTGGGCAAGATTTCCAGTGAAGTCAGCTTCTATAGTATTTCACTGTCTTGTGAAAATACTTCTATTTCTCACTTTCTTGCATCCAAATTCTTGCATCCTGGTACATTTTTCGGGTGAAGATGATCCAGGTGTTTTCTGTAGATTCAAGTTTTGGGCTACCTGCAGGATAAATAGTTGTCTTACAGCCATAAAAATATAACCAGTATTTGGTCCCATACAAATTATAACGCGTGGTATTACCGTGCTAGCTTCGATTGGATCATTTCATGTCGTTGCCGATAGAAGAGGCCATTGAAGGTTAACAAACAAGTCCACTGAAATCTTGCACTCCATTAGGTGTGGTGAGTACAAATTAGTCGTTAATCGAAAAATCACCCCATACCGAAATCACTATCGCTTCTTTTTCCTCCCGCGATGCGGCACTTCTCTCCGTATATCACATCAGAGATGATCTCATCTAAGTTGCATTTTTTTTATCAAAAACGTTTATGACATTTCTTTTTTTCTTCTACTCACAAGCTTATCAGTGAAGAGCAAACGTTTTCTGTTTATAAAGTCATTAGAGCTTTGCATCCTTTGTTATTCTTTCATTCCATTCAAGGGATCAAGCTGAGTGTCCTTTGTACCGTTGGCACCAAAACGTTTGTCTCAGTTACTGCCTGCACCTGCAATGCATGACTCATGAGGTTTAAAGCTATACGCATCCAGCTGCACTCTGAGAGTATTTTCTTCCGCCTAATCCGTTTTCGCAAGCTTCCAAGTTACATATTATTATTATTATTATTCAACACGCAACCAATTACAGAGAACTGACAAATGTGCCACTACATATGAACAAAAAGAAATTTGAATAATGTGTTCATGGGTTGTGGGCATGTTACTTCCCGGTTACCCTGGCCGAAGAAGCAGGATAGCCTCGGGGTCCCCACCCGAANCGAATCCTTTGGCTAGAAAGCTAGACCCGCAAGACAACAGGACGGAGCTCAGAGTCCGAAGTCCACTGGGACCGGTGTCCAGCTCACTGGATCATACGCCCTTTGGACGGGGTCAAACGTCAAAGGTGCCCAATGCACCTCTATGCCCAATGGAGCCGGTGACCACTGCCGAGGCCAGGAAGGTGTGCATGTGGTTCTTACTCCTCTTCTTGGTTGGTTTGAAATAAGGGTTTTTGGTCAACTCCCCTAGGTGAACTGCCAATGGTTCACCAACCCGTTTATAGCCCCGGATGTCGGCCTTTCGTCCTCTTACTTTGGTGCGAAAACACCTGCGCTACGAGAAGGCAGTGAGTAAGGCTTCCTCAGCAGAGGCTATTTGAGACGCTTGGTCATATCGGAGCATTTCGCGAGGTGTCAGGAAATGGTGACCAGTCACAATCCCAGACACCCACCCCGACCACACGAAGGCTAATTTCGAAGGCTGATTCACATATCGCGTCATAGTGAATCGTCTTCTTATTTCAAATGAGCTGAAATTGACCCTAAGAAAGACTTTATGCACTGATTGTGAAGTGTTCAATAGGTTGGATGGAATTAGAATCCATGCAAGGCCGCCCCCAATGCTTTTGCACAGATCCAATCCTGGTCTACTAATCACTTTTCAGATTCTCTAAAATGGTATATGTGAGACTAGAAACAATAGAACAAGATGAGATTTAATGCTTGTCTCACTTGTATTTTTCTTTACAAAGAGACGGAATTTCGTTGATATGATGCTGGTTGCACTGATTTATCCATTAGACTTCAATCAGGTTTATCCAAGGTATCTGTACACTGAGTTCGTCTCGTATAAAGTAACTGAACCATCGAATCATAAACGAGAAACGCCGGTCAGTTCTGTGCAGTTGAACACACTCTTTGTTATTTACCGAGCTGTCTCGTGTGAGAGATTTTTGTCATAATCCTTTCTCTTCCGACTGATGGACCATATTCCATTGAAGAGTGGAGTAATGCGGTGACTTTGCAATAACCAAAAAACACCCATTTCCCACTGAAGCATAATAACTGCTCAAATTCTGCCAGCTGAGAGACGAGAGTCGAACACTGTTTGATTAGGCACGGCACACCGATTGAGAGAGAGAAAGATTGTTGGCGTACCGTTTACAGTGCTGATATGGAATGAGCCAAAATCGATAACCTAAGCGACTAGCATGTCCAGGGCCTAACCACCCCTCCCTCATTCTCGGGTTCGAACCCTTTGGATGCGATGCATGTTCACGGTTGATGATGATTCAAGGTTTTTTAGTGATTGGTAATAAGCTGATTAAGTTGGAAATATCTACCTTTCTGTGGCAATCGGGCGTCGGCTTGTATTCAGATTGACTACTTTCTCATATGTGGCAAACAACGCTTCATCGTGCTGTGGCATCGGCCGGTTAAATTAGGTCATCGAGTTGAAAATTTTGCACAAATATATCGGTTATGAGAAGAGAAATTCACCAGGAAGTTGTAACTTCAGTTAAAGCTGTTTATAAAGATATGCATTGTTCGGCTGAAATTCAGCACGCCGACCTGACACATTCCCGGTCTCACTAACTGCTGCGGTGTTCCATGACTCGCTGCTGTTGACCTTCGCATCTCACACTATTCGACTCTGACACCGCACTTGTTTACCTACATCCCGCCCATCTCGTGCACATTTACAGTGATCGCTTTCACCACCCAGATCAATCACTCATGACATGACCTTTTTAACAGTGATCATCCTTCACCGAACATATATCGACAATCGTTGCATTTGTACGCCATTATCCTGTTTGTCTTCCCACCTGGGCTCTCTTATGACTTGTGAGACAGCCCTTTGATATGTCCTCTGTGTGAAGCAAGAAGAGCTTAGTACTATCGCATAGCCCAGTTCGGTTGCTTTGATGCCCGTTTAATTACTCTCCCATTGTACGCTCATTGCGTTTCTTCTTCTAACTGCAGCGAACCAGAGTTATTTGCAATTTTGCATTAAGCTTATCGGACTGAGTGTTCCCCGATTGGATTACCCCTAAACTGGGTAGACGTGGTCATGCCGGTCTAGTGTTTGGATTATGTTCTGGGATGGGAATCTGTCAATCCGGTACACTGCTTCGACTGTGGCCCCGTTTAAACCAGCTTCAATCTTTAATATTCATGTGCATGTAGGAGAAGGCGTAGCTGATGCACGCACGCACCATTGGGACAGACTCGGCAGAGCCTGTCAATGTTCATTTTTCTCCTAATAAACGGATCAGGTAATAACCGACGTATCACAAGTGCTTTTAAGTGACTCGTCTACTCGGACCCATGGCTTTGAACTCATTTGTGACAAGAAATTCAACGAAGAAAAAGGATAAGGCAACTAACCTTCAATCTGTTTTGTAGCTGAGGGACCGTGAACATCGGTGACCGGCTGTGAATGCACTTCTACCTGATAGCGACTACACGGTTGTACGTTCACGTTCACAGTGCCGGAGTTGTTCTGCCAAAGTTCTGAATACACGGATCTATCCGTGCCAGCATTGGTGATAGTGATATTGTGAGTTGTGACACGACACCTTCCAGGGTCGTTCCAAGACAGTTGAATGTGGCTGTTTTCCACTCGTACTTTCATATCGATCGGTCGAAGTTTCTCTGACATTGGCACGAGGGAAAACCGGTGAAAGACAATCAGAGGGGGTGGAGGATTATAAAAGGAATAATTTTCAATTTTTGTTAGATCTATTTGTGATTTTACTTCTTGGTTGTCGAATTTTGTGTATATGATAGTATAAAACTGCTGTACGCGGACACGAACACACCTTCCTCCTTGACACTCACAAACACATCGCATCCACATAAACAAATCCACTAGCTTGTTAAACGTTATCCCGGGGAGCGTAGAGTTAGTAACCTAATGTTTACATACAGAGATAAATATAAATACATACATACATACATACATACATACATACATACATACATACATACATACATACATACAGATACATACATACATACATACATACATACATACATACATACATACATACATACATACATACCAATACTGTACTTAATAAAAGATTGGCAACTTAAGATAGGATGTCAAATATAATTTAGCATTGCAGACATCAAGTTCTTCTGATAGTGTTTTAAGTCTTACGCCTTGTGATGATTGCCTTTTGTTTTGTTTCCGGGTGTTGAGTCTGTTTGCCGCCCTCCACACGTTCCACCCCAGCAATCTGTCTAGTCGCCTCTCCCTCCAGTGTCATTGTTTTGACCCGTACGTATTGTCGATCATCGGACATGCACTTTTCGTCCGTTCCATCTCTTCATTCACCCACCGCACTTGGTTCCCTCCTCTCTTTCTCGTGACCGTTGTCCCTGACCTTGATATGGTCTGACTCACTCTGCCCTATTACTATCGTATGGAGTTGCCTAATCTTATTCGGATTGGTCCTCTGTCACCCATGTGTCGCCCTGTTCCATGTGCGCTTTGACGTTATTTCACTTATCGTCTGCTTGTTTGACGGAGTGGTGAACCCCCTCGTTTGCATCTTGGTTCTCGATTGGTATGGTTAATTTCGCCGGTTCAGGCATACCCCCTGGGAACGCCACGATTTGAGGTGTGTTGTTTATGTAATTGTGACGCTTAATATTTACAGTACCGCATACTTATTCACTATTGTTGGAGCCGAACAAACCTCTAGAACACTTGGACTTGGCTTCTGTGGTTCCGCGTCACTCAACGTTGGCCTGTATAATCATTTGGATTTAACACCGGGTTTGGAGGAAGGAGTCATGGACATTCACGGTAAACTTTGAAACTAATCACACCGTTGATTTTTTATTCTGAGCCATATCTGTTGAACTTTCTAACCAACACCATTCTTCCGCTGCAGGGCCTAAGTGGGGCATTTGAAATAGACGAACCGGGGTCAGTGTGGTGATCTAACCTATGGGATAAAGCCACTCACGGAGCGACGCGTTACAGTCTCAAGATAACTGTGGTGAGTCAACCGTCCCGGATGACGCCAGCGAAGCGCTTACGCGTTTCAGTTTCTAGAAAATGAACCACAGGCCGACCGTGCCGACCAATCAAAAGTCGTGCGGTCCAAACAGAAGCTGTATGACGTCAAGAATACAACCAGACGAGTGATGGATACCTATATAACCTTTCCTTGTACATATTATTTAATCCCCTTGATTTTTTCCAATAAACCAACTGCTGTTTCTGGGGCCTTTTTCTTGCTCCTCGGTGACGGGCGATATCAGCGTGCAAGTGCTAGTGTGACTCAGCGTTCCAGTTGCGTCCGTGATTTGTGATTCGTAATTCGTGATCTGTGCCTACTTCAACTACTACAGCCAGTGCCGCCAACGTCTTCTGTGTACTCGTTCTCCACGTCATGTAACGGCAACCACAACGTTCATTCCAGTAAGGCCAAGAGATCGTAAATAATTACTATTTCCATAAACGCATAGTTTCTATTCCCACGAACTGTCATCTATTTAATCAAAAATTAACCATAACCCTGATGGTTTTACATCGGCTAATCTGGAAAAATTGAAAGTAATCACTAGTACCCTAAGCAGAATTTATCAATCATCTATCTGACATCTCAAACACCACTAAATCTCTAAACTGAAGGCGATGCTGAAATCCAATCTCATTGATCATTTCCTAAAATCTTTTGTTACTTCTGGGTTGGCGCCGAAAGCAAACCGCTTCCGCAGTTCCATTTATCAGTGCTTAGCAATACTAATAAAGAATAAGGTGAAAAAGTGCAAATAATACGAATCATTTGTTCTGCCAGAAATGTCTAGTTAAAAACGTAACTGAAGACAAACTTATTTGTGAAAAGGCCTCCTGGCAAAAAGTAGTCATAAAAAGGTGGTCGCATTCGCTTACCTCCCGCAAAATAGACTTGCTGAGGTTGTGACGATAGCTTGAGACCTGCATTTGTCAACCCAATCACTCTGACGGTGTAAGTTGCACATGACGGCAGATGTTTGATAAGTACGGCTGTTTGAGTAAGGTCACGATATGCGATGACTGATTTTGCCAATGCTGCAACTTCTGTTGTGGTAACATTTCCCTCTGTGATGACCACATCATAAATTCGGAACTCACACAATGCTGAACTGGACCATGTGAGGAGCCAATCTTCTTCTACCGCATTGGTTGATGTTATCCGAGGTGCCCCGGGAACTGTGGAACAAAGAGGGTGTCGACTCTTTCGTTAGGAACAATGCGTTGTCAGTATGTACTTTTCCAACTTGAGTGAAGACAGAATTCCGTGAAGAACTCGACTTTGGATCATAGAAATTCGGGAAGTAATGATACGCATAATGTCTTCTGGTTAAGGCCACATATGCAGTAAAATCTTTCAAAAACTGTGGACTCAACCACAGCGGTCTAAAGCTACACTTGCATTAGTTTACACGATAAATTGGATCGTGGATGGAGCAAATAAGGCGCCGACTAAAAAGCTGGAAGGCACTGGATCGCCGGGTCATAACTCTGTCTCTTAGACACAAAATAATGAACTTATGATTGTTACAGACTCGTGTTATTTATGTGCATGATTTTCTGAGGAGAACTAACTGTATCCACAACTCATCTTGGCTCTGCCTGACTCTGCTCTACTCAGTGGATTTTCAGTCCGAGTTCGCACTATACGCTTCCGACTATATATATCACCGAACTGAGGTTAAGTATGTTACCAAAGTAACAGCAATGATAATAATGGTAGGATAGGTACAGATTAATGAAATGAAAACGAGAAAACAGATAACGGCGAGAATGAACGAATGGATATTTTTTAGCTCCACCGTACACTCTTGACGTATTTTGTCTATTTTGAGGAACGGAGTTTCGACGAACAAATCGCACAACAATCGAATCAATGTCCTGTATTCCGTGTCATACTTCTCAGCGTCTCAAACCATCGGCAATCCTCATCCCCTAAGCTACAACCTGGAGGTTGAGTTGTGCCAACCAAAGCCAATGTTGAGGCTGAATTCTTCATATCTCTACACTATATCGTGGCTTGACCACCACGGCGCTTCCTCCAGCATTGCCCAGCACATGCAAAGAGATCATGAAGGGAAAGACAATGGGAAGGCA